TAAATTTTCTTAGATATTGTCAAAAAAAGTAAGTTTCCGATTATCTATCTATAATCTAAACATATTTTTTAAATTTATTTATTGATAAAATATAGTTTGGTAAATATTATAACATACAAGTAATTTTTTACTGTTTTTAAAGCTGGAACATTATTCATTATATTCTTTTGCAATTTTACCAGTGAATACAAGAACATTTGTCCAATGTAATTGTTATGTGTTCTTCATGTAAAGAATTTCATGTACAGTGATTATTATTGTAAAGAATTGTTCTATAACTATTCTATGTATTGTGTCATTTTATATTGTGGCATGCAAATTAGACGTGATCTTTTAATTGTTAAATATCGTGTGATAAAAGTATATTAGATACTTTTGTGTCTGTGGTAGATTCCTTGATCTGTTCATTCAATTTAGAAATAAGAATGTTTTTTTCCGTTAGAATCTAAAATAATTTATACGAGAATTACATTGATACTATAATTAATGTAAAAAGATTATATTCTATCATTTTTATTTAAATCAGATTTCTTTATCGATTGCTTATCATATTCTAAACACCGTTTAGACATTTCATAAATGAATCACAGGAAGAAAAATGTACTGTCATTTGGCATATAAATTAATGACTAATTATATAAATTAAAGAAGAAAAATAATACAAAATTACCATAGACGATAAAGAATCTACATCGCATTTTGTACGATTTAATTTATTTTATTTGTACGTTTTTCTCTAATCTGTTATGTTGTTCCAGCGTGTATGAAAGAGATATGCTCTGCATATATTAAAATGTGTTTTAACATTAATTGCCATTTTATATATAAACAAATTTCGTATTCTTTGTCGTCTTTCGTTCTGCAAGTAGTAAGTAAACACATGTATAAGACATGTCTGACGGGCAGTAGTAAGTGTCAACAGTAGCTACTCCGTGTATATAGTCAGACGCGCAGTGGTAATATGCCGTTATGCATGGCCAAATGCAGCACCGCAGGCTTTTATCGAGCGACTACATTAAAGTTATTTGTATACTCATCAACAATGACTCTGACATTAATTTACGTAATTATATTCACGATATACGTGAAAATACAACGTCACGATTGTAATAAAGCACGGAACAAATTCATAACTATGATTATAATGATGTCAGAAGGGACCAATTTCACACGGTTTTTTAAATTCGTTTTCCATAGTATAGGCAGATATACATAGATATACAATATAGATTACTTATCTAAATCGTTTTAATGAAATTTTAAAGTTTATTAACTTTGATATAATTTTAGAAAGAAAGATGTGTGCATTATTATTGTCACCGTCGGTTCCTCGATATTTTTGCGTTAAGTTTGTTTGTTTCATCGATAAAGAAAAGAGGAATTTTCGAAAATTGGGTGACCCCTAATATGCGAATGAATGCGCCACGTGACGTACCCGACTATACAAAACTTTAGCAATGTCGAAGGAATGGCGCGCACCCACCGTCAGAAGTTTCTACGATCTTGGAGAGTAATCACGATAAGGTGATTTACCGAGTATTTCACGTAGAATTATACGAACGAGTGTAGTAAGCATATACCGCGTTTACTCAGCGTATCCTAATTTCGTGCAAGCTATTTTCATGAACGCTGGTACATGATCAGAGAATCGTGAAATTTATATGCGTTTCGTACAACTGCGTAAATCAAATATTTAGAAAAGTTTTTTTTCCGATGAGTCCTTTATACGCATAATTTTTTTGATTATAACGATAAGTTTATATATAATGAGGCAATATTGACGAGTTATAAAGATTAGAGAAAGATAGAAAGATGAATGTTTCTGATGTCGCAAATTTTATTTTACACTCTCGAAATGTACGAATCACTATACGATGTATGTACAGAATAGAGAATGAAATATCTGAGCATATTTTTCAAAAAACAAATTTGGAAAATAATTTTAAAGATTAGAGAAATCTTCCTTTTCCTAAAACATTAAAGTGATTTCTAACGTTTATAGCGGGCTGTTTCAAATACAGCGCCGTGTGATTGCGATCCTCTCGAAGTTGGCGCCAGATTGGTCCGTCCGTCGATCAATACGGTATTTTCCGCGACGTAAGTCTCGTCCCATTTGCCGATTGGTCAGGACGTACGCCGCAATCCGATTATTTATTAAGCTCGCGCGAAGGTACAATATTTGTCGGGCGTCTCGTTTGTCGCAAGTACGAGATGGCGATCGTGATCGACACGTACGACGTGTGATTATTATTGCATGAAACCCGAACAAATCTCTGCTCGAACAACAACCGTACTTTAAAGCGTCTTTCCACTTTCAATGATTCCTTTCTCTCCTCTTCAACATCGGTCGTCATCTGCACGAAACCAAAGTTCGTACACATGCCTGATGTATATAGGGTACTGTATATATGAATATCTTTTCTATTATATATTCTCTAAAAGATTTTAAAAATTTTTATTTACGAAAATATTATTAAGTCATTTAATTTCATAAACTTTTTAAACTTTTAATTGTATTAATTATCTTATTGATAAATTCGTAAATAAATGTTTTATTAAAATAAGTCTATTTTAAAGTTAAATAAAAAATGGAATTCTTCTATGCTTATGTTCTTACATATCGTTATATGTATATGCGACCGAAATCTTGAAAGTTTAGCGCGCGACAATTTTTAAATTTCAAAAACTATTGATGTAAGAAGCGATGCCGTCTTGATATCGAAACAATCATTATTCTTGATGTAACTTTTAATAGAAAATGCGCGCGCGAGTTTTGAGTGATCCCGTATACGGAAAGAGGGTTTGGAGGGGGAGGGAGAAAGAGGGGAAAGCAGCTCGGTTCGCGCAACTGCGGTTCCACACAAGTGCGATAAGATCGATAGAGCGATAGAGGTCTCTGAGCGAGAGATATATACGTCGTGGACTCCAAAGAACCGCTCGCGAGGAATGCGAGTTCGCGCCTCGGTGAGAATTCGAGAGAGAGAGAAGAGAGAGAGCGCGGGGTCGACGTGGCCGCGTCATCTAATCGTAAGAGGGGTGCGCGTGGAAGAGAGATAAACGTATTCGGATCGTCGGAAGAAAGAGACGGAAAGAGTTCGCTACCAAAGAGAGAGAGAGAGAGAGAGAGAGCGCGGGGTCGACGTGGCCGCGTCATCTAATCGTGAGAGGGGTGCGCGTGGAAGAGAGATAAACGTATTCGCGCGAGTCGGATCGTCGGAAAGGGCACCGCCGTCGCCGTCGCCACGCGCGAAAGCGACGACGCGTCGGAATACTTTAAGCCGTCGCCGGACGCGACGCGACGCGACGCAACGCAACGCAACGCGGCGTCGCGACGCGAGGCGCCGCGCAGTGCGCATACAGGCACCCTCTGGCGCTCCCTCACCCTCGTCGTGTGCGAGACGAGTGTTGGTCGTTTCGCGCAAAGTTTTCGGACGGCTCGACGCGGAGCATCACTACGAGGGGCGCCGCGCGGGGATACGAGCGAATTGAGTCGAGAAAAAGAGAGAGAGAGAGAGAGAAAACGTCGTAACGCTCTAGAAGGGTATTTAACCCTCGCGGCGATCAGCGGCTATTCTTGCCAGGGCGTTCTCGTGTTCGTGTCGACAATCACGACGACGACGAAGACAACGCGATGAGCGCGACGATACCTCGGCTGCGGCGACGATAGAAGAGATAGCGAATCCCTTGGAGCGATAGTGGTGAACCCCCCTCCGTTGTCAGCTGGGAAAACGGTTGTCGTGGGTGTGTAACTGTTCGGGGACGATCGACTACGTGGGCGTCGCGGCGGCCGTTAGAGGCGCGCCGAGGGGCGCCATTGTCGTGTCGGCTGCCACGTGAATCGCGCAAACGTTCGCGAGCATCCGCGAGCGGACTTTTCCGGAGAGGAGGGCGATCCCGGGACGGCGATCCGGTGCCCGATCGTGTATGAACGCGCTTCGCCATCGCTCGTCGAGCATGTCTCTCGCGGACGCGACGGGATCCAGTTAACGAGACGGCGATTCATCTTCGCGGATCTGATAATTGGGATGGCGCATCGTCTCGCTGCGGTGTTATCCGGAAGATAACGGAGACGATCCGATACACAAGGACGCCGACTTCTCTTGACAACCGCAGCGCTACCGTACGTGTCTGATACCGCGCGTAGATCGAGCCACGAAAGTCCTATTTATCTTTAGCACGGGCAACCCAGTGACCCGTTTTCGTTTTCAATCGATGCGGTTTTACAGAATATCCAAGAGAATCAGGGACGCAGCCATTATCTAGTGATCGGAGTCCAACGAGAACGATATCATCCTATGTCTATCGCTCCGAGTGTACGGAATCGCGACGTTGATTAGATCGCACCCAGCTGTCACTTTCGTACCGCGATCCAGCAACCTCGCTTTATTGGAGCGTCCGAGTGGATTTATCAAAGGTGAAGCGGTGCTCGTTTCGCCCCACCTCGCGAAGCGACGCCGAGGAGGATCAGGTTCTCCAGCGCGAGGAGGGTTGCGTGTCGTACGCTCGCAAGGAACAGCGTATTCGTCCGATGGTGCATTCGGGCAGCGCAACGCGTGAGGCCGGGCCGCAAGAGAGAATGCGAGAGCCTCCTCACAGTCTGTGAACATGATTTGTCATACACATGCAACGGGCGGTAATCGTACGACGAGAGACACCGACGACGACGACGACGACGACGAGGAGGAGGAGGACGACGACGACGACGAGGAGAAGCGCGACATCCACGGCCATGCCACGAGCACGCCGTACGCTCGCATGAGACCAGCCCGACTGCTACTACTGCCCTACTGCAGTATCCCACAGCATCAGCATCAGCAGCAGGGAAGAAAGCCCGTATCGCGCCAGACGTCGCTTAGCGCAGCCGAATCTAAGGACGTCCACCTTCTATCGTTATCCCGTAATACAAAGGAGGCCATCCCGAAGTCATCGACCACGACGGAGGTGGTGTCGCGTCGCGATTGGCGCAAGCCACGAGTGCAACGTTCGAGTGGCGAGTCGACGACGACGGTGGTGCAATCGCGACGACGACGACGACGACGTAACTCCGGTGCGGTCGCGTTTCCGCGTCGCGGTGCGGTGGTGCGGTCAACGGGTGTCGGATGACTTCCCCAGGACGAAAGCCGCGCTTCGTAGTAGTCGTAGAAGGTTATACATCCCGGTCATCGTCGTATCCCGCGTCGACGACGGTCGTCGTAGAGAAGAAACGCGGAAGGAGCGTAGGCCCCGTCGGTATTACGGCAACGTCTCGTCGACGTCGGCGTCGTCGGTGGTGCGCCGGCCTGCCTCGCACCCGCGTCATACCCACGTCGTATACCCCGTGCACGCGCGTACACCGCCATCGTGATGGCGGAGCTACCTCAGCCTGACATGTCGCACCTCACCCCGGAGGAGAGGCGCATCATAGAGGGTGTTTTAATGCGTCAAAAGGAGGAAGAGGAACAGGATCATGAGATTATGAGGTATGTACTCTCTCTCTCTCTCTCTCTCTCTCTCTCTCTCTCTCTCTCTCTCGATGCTTATGCTTCGCAAATCTCTCGCCCGGATATCCGTATGAATAGGAGGAGATTTTTTTTGCGAAATTTTTTCATATTAAAGAATTAAATGGAAACTGCAAATTATATGTATGTGATCTTTTTTACATAATACAACTTGAAAAGAAATATCAAGTAGTGGTGTAAATAAAATCTTGATCGTACTACGTATATAAAGTCCATATCTTTTTTGGATTCAAAGAGATTTTCGAATAAATTTGAGTTTTTTTGATAAGGTAATTGATAAAATTATTTTACGTTGTATAAAAAGAGAATACTAATAATATTTTATATACAATAATATCGAAAAAATCGATATACGAGTGTTTTATCAGAGAGAATATTATGTGCATATAATTAATATAATAATTAACTAATTAATAATTACAATATATCATAATTACATTGTTTGTCTAAATAGAGATATATGCAACCAATAATTATATATACATTATCACTCTTATATATATTATCTTAAATACTAAAATAACAACTTAAAAATTTATTATATACACTAAGAATTTTATCACTAAAAATCTTTTACTACAAATTTTATCACAATTCTCCCCAATGATAATCAAAATATGTATTGTATAATATCGTGTCTTAAAAAGAGTATGAACGCGTATGCTGGAATTTTTTTGCCGCTGTACGAGCTTGCGACATGAATTCGAAACTATCGATGAAGGTATTGTTTTACAAGCAGGACGAGGGCTTTCACACGGGTATTTAGGATTCTCTATTACACCGGATATTGCCAGGCTGGTCAAACGCTCGTACCAATAATAACATTCAAGCATCGTGATGCGTGTGATCGATATTGTTTATCGCGCTTTCGATAATTGCGTTTTTATGCCATGTAACGTGCCGCGACAAAAACCATAAAATTACATAGTATAAAATAAAAATTGTGAAGAATATTGATACTTTACTAAATGAAAAATTTTCTCATTTTTTCGGTTTTTTGATATATTGAAATTTTTTATACATCGACTAATATATATACATATATATATATACATATATATATATAATAGAATATTTAAATAAATGTGGGAAAAAAGGTATTTCTCCGCCTTTTTTAAACTCGTACAAAAATATCGTCGATAGAAATTATTTTTTCAACTTTATTATGATTTAGATGATGATTTTGGACGATGATTAAAATTAAGTAACAGGTATTTTTATCTATTTCTAATATTCAGAAGAATATTAGACAAGATAATAACTTTAATTATAGTAAATGACATCTATTTTAGCGCGATTGCGATTAGTGATAACTGTTAAGGTCAAACTTCGGCCAAGTTTAGAAGTCATCGAAAAACTAGGGATATAAAAGAGATATTAATACGGTCAGCGGCGCAAAAATAAAAGATATGTCGTTTAGTCGGTTGTTACCGATAACCATAATTGACCAGACGGACGAAACGACAATCGATCTATCGGATAAAGATATTTCTTGACCAGTGAGCCTGCTTCGGCTCGTTTCACCTATTTTCCCAGCTCACCTGCTCATTAGTCCTTGACCGCTTTACACCTACATCTTCCATTTATGTATCCACGGCCCCGCACATGCTCTCGATTGCCGCGTCGGCTCTCATCTCTTTTGTATCAAGCGATCAGAAATAAAAGTCGCTTATAATTGACTCTTCACTATCCGCAAATATTCTCACCCTTGCATATTCCGCCTTCGCAAAATGAGCTTTCTGTGTCTTAAGTATCCGTGTTTTAAGCGAGCAACTCAGTCGAAGTATAAAGTAACGTGGATTGATCGATTTCGCGATGATAAAAATAAAACAACCGATTGTGCTGGTCGCGTATTTGGCTTATCAGAAGAGGTGATGATTGACCGGCGTGCGTAATTGCGCGAACACACAATGTTATTTTCTCTCTCTCTCTCTCTCTCTCTCTCTTTTTCTCTTTTTCTTTATCTCTATATCTCTGTCTTGTTCGTGGCGTCTAACAATAACTAAAAACAGAAGGGAGAGGAAAGCGAGCGTTGCGCAGGTTTTATTGATAGGTCGTCGTTGGCCGGGGAAAAACGGGAACGTGAGAAAGAAGGGTAAGAGTAATGAGAAAAGCGTGCTAGGGACGCATGTAAAATGCAAGGCGACGAGCCTTGACGTGGCTTAGTAACGAGCTGCTGCAGCTACAGCGCGAATAGGGTATGCGGAGCCGTAACGGACAGGGTGTGAAAGCGCCTGGATTGGCACGGGGTAAATTCTTCAGGGGTGAAATATATACGCGTCTCTCCTCTGGAGGAGATAGGGTAGCGCATCTTTGAAAAGCCGGGAGGGGAAGGGAGAAGAGTACAAATACCGCGGAACGAGCGGATAGACACGGATAGAGCGTTCTGCGTCAACGCAAATTGAAAGTTAAACCGAGTATCGTGTCTCGTTCCCCGTATATCATTCCGCGATATCCCCCCC